ACACACACACACACACACACACACACACACACACACACACACACACACACACACGCGTGGGTCCAACCCACTGTTTTTTTTTTTACTTTTTCTTTTTCTTGATTGATTGATTGATTGATTGATTGGTGGGGAAGGGGTCGCCCTTCCCCCCCTCACATGCACACACACACACACACACACGAAAAAATAAAATTTCCTTTTTTTAATTACATTTCTTTTGATTAAAATACTTGTTTTTTAGTTTTCTATTTTTTAAAAATTGAAAATCACTTCATAATCCAAAACAAAAAAATATGCGCTTGTAGGTATTTTCAAACCCTACAACCCCATATGTTTTTATTTAATTTTTTATGTTTATTTAATAGGGAAAAAAATTCCAAAATCGGGACCGCGCCCCTCGTCCGCAGCCGACCTCAGCGGTCGGGATTTAGACCGCGGGCCGAGATTAACCCCATGGTCATGACCGCGAGGGATTCATAGACTGTAGCACCGCACGCGTTGAGCCTGAAATTCAGGTTGCTTTCTCGACGTCTTGTCTTGGAAGAGTGGTCAAGGAATGGGTGTTGGCGGAAGCCAATGCTGCTGGCTTCAAGGATATCGGTGAGTGGGCCAAGATACTTACTCTCAGACAATTTCTCTAAAAGATTAGGGAGTGGTTCCTGGATAAGACGACGGTCAATGAGGCCGTTGATGAACTCACCACTATAGGCCAGAAACGTTGGACTTCTATCGATGCGTTGTCTCGCGAAGTGGATCGTTTGTTGCAGGTACCTGGACTGAACGTACAAGGCAACCAAGTTCTCTATATCTACTCATGTGCCTTGCCCGAACCCATTTGTGGACAACTTATGGCAGAAGCTAAGTCTGGTAAGTTTAATTATTGAAAGTTTCGCAATCTCGCTCTACAACGAGAGCAAATGACTGCACAGGTAAAAGCCCAAAGAGGTATTACCGTCTTACGCTTCGGTGGTAAAGTTAGGACTGGTTGGTGGTTATGGCAAGCGGGTCCTTGGCGGCAAAAGCGTCAGGGCCACATGCTTGTAGTATTTGATGATGATACGGTGGAAAAACTACCTATTGACAAGTCTGAGGGAGGAGGAGGTAACAACGGCAGTGAATTTGGGAAGGATCACTATAGTAATGACCAACAAGGGAGGTCAAAACCAATGGAAGAAAAAGAGGAGACCACGCTTGTTTCCCGAGCATCCTGACATTGCTTTCGGGAAGCCATGAGAGAAAATGAACATTACACGAGAGGAGTGACAGTAAAAAATTGGCAATCGTCAGTGCCTTAAGTGTGGCACCGTGGGGCATGTGATCGCCTAGTGCCCACTTATTAGAAACCTAAGAACGAGCAGTCAGTAGGAGTAGCATCTGCTCCTACTGAGTCGAAGGGATTAGACGAAGCCAAAGACAATGCGCCTATAATCCCTTCTAACCCTTCGACTCTTAAGGCAAAGGATGACTCTTCCTCCGCCCATCGTCCAAAGCACCCTGATATTGTTCTTTGCTCTGTCTCACTGGACGATTCCCTTGACGAGCTCGACAATGAACTCATAGCATTATGGAGTTCGTGGACGAAGAAGACTAAGTTTAAGGGTGAGTTGATCATTGCGGATATTGAGATTGCGCACACGCGAGTAGGTGTCTTGTTATGTCCAGGATCGACGTGGTCTTATATCTCAGAGAAGGCAATCCGAAATTGCATCTGGGAATGAAGGTAAAAGATTTATCGTGACCTACCACATTTATACTGACAAGAGCACGATCACTGTCTCTCAATATGTTGATCGTGTCAAGACTTAGTGTCATTTCATAACTAAGGAGGAAAGGAAAATATTACATGAAATATTCTTCTTAATAGAAAATAACCTACCATTCAACATGGTTCTTGGAATGGATTGGCACGAGGACGTCGAGGAGGCCGACGATAAAATTGTAAAACTCAAGGACGAGAAGTCCGAACTGCGTATTATAAAGTTGTATCATAGGTCTAACTCTGACTCTACTCTGTCTTTCTGTTAGTGTCGTACCCCCGTTCACCGTTCACAGGGTTGATGAACGAGGGCCGGTCATCGTTCACCAAACACGTGAACGCGTGGAGTTCACGGAGTTCACCAAGAGCGGGAAGTCCGTTTTTTTTTTTTTTTGTCTGCCGGTGGTATTTTGTTTTTTCATACACGTGTGGGGACTGTTAACGGGCACCTACCCATTTTTTATATATATATATATATTTTTATCGGAATATTTTTTTTTTAATTATTAAAAAAAAAACAACCGAAAGAGGTCTCCCCGTTTAGTCGAAGTGTCGTGTTCGTTTCAACTTGGTGACACTACGGCCGTGAGATTTTCAGATTGGATGGCAAGGAGTCATTGTTTAGAGTGTTGAAAGAGACCATACTGTTGAGAGAAAGAGGAGGAGGCCCCCGGTCGTTTGTTTGATGGTGCAATAAAGCACCAACCGAAACCGGGGTAACACTCATTGCCATTCGGGACACACACACACACACACACACACACACACACACACACACACACACACACACACACACAGAG